TTTAGGCTTTATCCTTTGTCCATGTTTAACAAAATCGATCTAAATTGTTACGTTTTTCTACCACTAAGTAATGATAAATTATTGTTAATAATTTTTTATTTTTTGGTTGCTCAGAATGCAGGAAAGAGCATTTCCAGGTTTCAAATTTGAAAAATTTTCTGGGGATTATGCCCCCACACACGTGGCCTTCGGCCATTGGTATCCACCTCTAATAAGTATAATGATAAATTACGGTTAAGTTCTTTTTTACTTTTTGTGAATTTTTTCCTTCTTTTATTTCAAATACAAGTATAGTTAGCATAAATTTTAGAGCAAATTTGGATGCTCAGAATGCAGGAAATCGCATTTCCGTGTTTCAAATTTCAAAAATTTTCTGGGGGAGTACACCCCCACACACGTGACCATTGGGATCCTCCTCTAATAAGTTATGATAAATTATGGTTAATATTTTTTTTTACTTTTTGTGGGTTTTTCCTTCTTTTATTTCAAATACAAATATAGTTAGTATACATTTTGGAGCGCATTTGGATGCTCAGAATACAGGAAATGGCATTTCTGTGCTTCAAATTTCAAAAATTTTCTGGGGGAGTACCCCCCCCCCTCATTCATGCGTGCATGGTATGTTCGACGCACACGTGGCCTTTAGCCATTGCTACCTCCCTGTAATATATTATCTCACAGAAAGGTACCTTTTCCAAAAATGCCCCCCCCCCACGGGAAAATCCTTAAAAAAGGCCCTGGTTGCAACAGACTTGAACAAATGCTGTTTCGACAAAGGATGTGTTCATATTGCTTCCTTATATCTCAGCTTAACAAGTTTTCAACAGCTTGGTGACAACTTGCTACAAGGCTCTTTACTCAACAGACTTGTAACAAGTTGTTTGAACACTTTGCCTTTGTTAATAACATGTTCTGAGTAAAAAACTTGTACTTATGCTTGACAGCATTTCTATGCTTTTCAACAAGTCTACTGCAAACTCATCTTGTTGACAATTTAATATGTGAGATTATACCTGTAATGTGTAGTACTACTTACAGTAACAATTATTAATACTCTGATGCTACATGTAATTGATAGAACAATAACATTGCTTTTAATTAAGTAATTTGAAAGTCCTTTAATTAAGAATAATAGATAATAGATTAAAAAAATAAATAGATAATACTTGGAACACAAAATCTTCTTATTGTTGTAAAAGACTGCAAGTGCCCATTATAAATCACATTTACCATATATATTTAAATTCAGGATTGTTGGAGATAATATTTACCATACAGTCCATGCCAGGATACAGTCCAAGGAGAATACCAATCAGTCATTGCACTGGACTCACCAATATGCTGTACTCGGCAGAGCCAGCAACGCTTCCCTAGATAACATGGTGCCACAGAAGGAAATTAAGGACATTGAGCCTGTGGACTCACTACCTAGCTGGGATGTTCAACAAAGTTTAAGGAACAGATGGGCAATATTGGTCAGTAGGGTTGTTTGCAAATACATCAACCCATTTAAGTATTTAAATAATGTAGTGGTACATCATATACCACATACCTATACCAAGGAGATGATTGAGAAATCTGAGATTGTAATTATTAGTTTTTAGTCATGTATATCAATATCAGGGATTGATTTGTTTTCAGCATAAGAACAAATTAAAGTTTTGGGAGAGGGCTGAAATGGAATCAAGCGCCAAAAGCCAAACCATTTAGGCGGTTCCAGGGGGCATTTTCCCCAGGAATTCCTGGAAAATTCCCCTAGCCCAGATTATTTCCCAGTCGCTGAGTATGTCACTGTTTGTCCTTAAATCTAAGCAGGGATGGATCCAACATGATCTGTTAGGGGGGTGGTCTGCTCGCAGACTGCATTCCGCTCCCCCGCGGGACTATAGTTTGCTGTCATTCGACGCTAATGCCGTACAGCTACCGACGAAATATGATCGGCAGTTTTTCATTGGTTCGTTTCAAAATTATACTTGCATAAATTTGCTTAGCTAATGCTGTTGGGCAGACATTGCCACACAAAAGAGCATTTAATTTTTTGGGATGAATCAATTTGGTAGAATTTACAAATCTGGCATATTTTTTTGCGAGTTTATTGTTCGATTTCGTTCTATTGTTTTGCTTGACCTTGTCTATTGTCTATTGACCTTGTTTACACCATATAAGTTCTATTTAAAGTAACGCACCTGATTGGATAATATAATTAGAAAGCCACTAAAGTGTTGAAGTGCACAATATTATATCTATTTATACGACTACGTCACCGTACAGCATTAGTGACAATTGGTCGCAGACTGTTATCCTTCCACCTTTCGAGACGAGTATATTTCGAGACGAGTATACCGG